CCAACTAGAACCACCACACCGTAAGAATCCACCACTCCTTCGGTGCCAAGCTATCGCTAAACCTCGACAGTTGCTAAAACTCGGCCCGGCTTCGATATGTTAGGTTCCGGCAATTACAAAAACTCGGCCCGGGCCGGCTCGGCTTGTCTCCTACACAAGCCGCAAAGGATTTTGCCTCCTGAGGGCAAGTGGGGTTGCCACAGCGGATGGCGACAGTTTGAATGTAGAGGGTGGGGATGGTATGTGCCGAGTTTCGTTCGAGGCAGGGGAGGGACTAGGACAGGTGGATATAAGGACCAAATGGCGTAGATCCTTTGCCGATTGACTAAGTAACGTACGTTTGGAGGGGAGAGGGGAACGGTGAAGGACGAAAAGGATGTGGAAGTGTGTTCCTGGGACTTCCCTTTTTGTGAAACTGATACTTAGGCAAAGCCCCACAAAAACCCGTCATTAGACTTTTTTATTTTTGAAACTGATGCTTAGGTAAAGCTGTTCCACAAAAACCCGCCATCAGACTTTCCTATTTATGAAACTGATGCTTAGGTAAAACTGAGAGCGAATAAGTTCCATAAAGTGGGCAAAAACAGGGTAAAACGGATGCCTGGGGATGAAGTCAGCCTTTGCTCCCGTGAGATTTTGAAGACAAAACCAGGCTGGAACGCACCAGGCTCTCCGGTGCGATCATGCGTTTTTGCACTACACTCGCAGATCGCTATTAGCAGGAATTATCCCTACGCCGTTGCCTAACACTAGGGCTAATATTGGCCTTGTTTTGATCCTTACCGGCACGCAGGAAGAAGGGCATCAGTTGGGATGAAGGTGGTGCATTACAGTTGGGATGAAGGTGGTGCACATCTAGGAGCAAGATTACCGGTTTTTTGCATGAAATCCGGTCGTCTTTTCGGCAAATGCTCGCTTTGTGAAGAAATGAGAAATGCAAATTTTTTGAAATAACGCAAATTTCTAGTTTACTAAAAAGTGGAAGTATTGTTCGAGCGGTCGTTTTCAAAAAATGAGCGTTCATTTACATATACGATTGCGATCAAGGTCCGAATTGCTAACGATTTTCGGGTTCAGGAGCTGCTTGAGGCTGTGGTTGGGGAGATAGAGGGCTGAGTTTAAAACTTTTATCTCGCACGTGCCTAGAGAATATCCCTACAAAGTTTCAGCCTTCTACGTTGCCTGGTTCGCGAAATCGTTTCCCGCCAACATATTTCCTTGGGGGTCCCGTACGCGGAGTTTAGGCGCATATGGGGAAAGATCTTAAAACGGGAGGATGACACACGAGGTAGGAACATGTATCCAAAGTTTCAGCCTCCCAACTTTCCTGGTTGCTGAGATGAAAGTGGGTGACAAAATGCACTCGCTTCCCGCACGCACACACACACACACACACACACACAGCCCCTCGACAGTATGCGTTTTTGCTGGCTGTAGCAGCAAATCCAGTCGAACTTATTTGTCCTCAGCTTCACCTAAGCATAAGTTTCAGTAAGTCCTGTCGAAGTCACTTGCCCCCCGCTTAACCTAAGCATAAGCTTCAGTAAATCCTGCCGAACTTATTTGCTCCCAGCTTCACC